AGAAAAGCTTGCCATCTTTGTTCCAGATATCCTGCACATTTTCTCATATTTGCCTAGGGATCTGAATTTTCTTGAGCATTCATCAAATCTTGGCTGGAAAGAGTGAGCATTCTTCTCCATGCATTGATGCATCCATATTCCCCAACACTGTGAGACGAGTTTCTCATTATGATGGTTAATATCCAGTGATTCTAAATTTCTAAGATTCTTGTTATGCAAACAGGTTTCAGAGGGCTAGGCCTATAATCCTAGATCCTGGCATCTATCATGCGAAGAAGTCTGGTGTATTTTGGGCAAAGGAGAAAAGGTCAATGCCTGCTGCTTTCAAGCTGTTCATGGGTACTGTCTTCCTATTTGCTTAAACCTGGATACAGTTCCAATTTCCAAATGAGGTTCATGTTTTGGTCCTGAATTGCACAATGCAAATTTAAGTTGCACTTGAAACTTATGTTTGGTAATGCTTTTGACCACTCTGTTGGCATGACCCTTACCCTTAGAGGCTTCGCCATATTTAATATATAGCTTGAAATTAGGAATAGCAACAGAGTTGAGTTTGATGGCCTCACCCTAATGGCACCTATTTTACTATTTAAAGTCCTAATGGGATTTAGCATGGTGGTGGTTACTTGGCAACAAGGGCGGATCCAGGAATTCGGGATGCTCTGTGCTGAATAGCAGTTATACTGGGCTTAAATATCATCTGGGTGGGCTGAATGTGAAAAATGAAATAATTTACACTAAAAATATTGAAAAAAATTTAAGTTGCACTGGGATTCAGCCCACCATAGCCCGTACATAGATCCTCCCCTGCTTGGCAACCTGCATGCGAAAATTGTGTATAGATTAAAACAATAACCCTAAATATAATCACAGTGAAGCAGTACCTCCTTAGAAGTAAATGTGGTAAAGCCTATTTTTTGGCTTCTGACATATAAGTGGAACTTTTATATTTTTGTTTATCATAATGATTTATTTAGGTAAATTGTCCTAAATAGGAGTAAATAGGTTTTGGAATTCCAAAATAGGGCTGCTATGTTTTTCTTCTCGAAATAGGAGTCGTTACTGCTATGATTGAAAAAATATTGCCATTAATGATAGTAAATACTGCGTTATTTAATGCTTAGTACTACAACTATTTGGCAGTAATGTCTACAAGATGGCAGTAAATACTGCCATATTACTCCTATTTCAAGAAGAAAAACATAGCAGTCCTATTTTGGAATTCCAAAACTTATTATTCCTATTTCTTGAACTTCCCCATTTATTTATTGTTGGAGTCTTCTAGTTCTTTGGGTTAAGGAAATTTTGAAAAATAGCTTGTATGGTACCGTAACGTTGTTATTGATACATTTCAGTAGCCCAACCTATAAAAAGCAAATCAATATTCTAAGTGCATCTAGTTGTCTCATTGACAATACCATTTAAAATTATGACATATATCATCGGAGTTTGGTGGCCCATATTCCACATACATTTTTAGAAAAGCTTATGTAGCCGTTGTATCTGTCATTGCAATGGACACACTCGACCCATCTTGTTGAATCTTCCCATCTTGTTGTGTTCCCCAAAGATGATTGTTAAAGCTCTTCAACTTTCTGGGTAAATTGAATTAATAGTCAGAGCCGGTGACAGGGCCACTTAGGCAAGGCATTTGCCTAGGGCCTCAGATATTTTGTAGAAGTAATTATTAATACATTTTGCATTTTTTTATGTGTTTAATTAAAATCTTATTTTTGCATTTTACTTAAATCACATTTTCTCATATTTGTTTGATTAGTTAATTTTGTCACTAATCATGTACTCCGTATAATTGTATCTACTAATTTTAGCTTTCTATGTTGACATACATATTTGTTTGTGAATTTTCTACTCCGTAATATATATAAATATGTAGATACTAAGCCCATTTGATGACTTATTTTTCGGCTTATCAGTCTTATCGACCAAACTTTTCATCAAACACGTAACTTTTGATTTCGCGTGTTGAGATACATATGAATCAAAATAAATTAGGTTGGATTTTCTTTTCTGAATGAATTGACTGAAGTTATTGTAGATGATCATTTGAGCTATTTTTTCATATAACAGAAAAACCAAAACCAATCCTGCCAGGCTGCCACTTTAGTCATAACTTCATAAATTTCGGTAGAATCGATTCAGCCAATCAGTGTTATCAAACGGCACATTGTTGTATGATGAAAAAGTTTTACTCAAAATATTTGTAAATGTCAAGCTTTTTCGCCTAATCGCCTAGGGCCTCTAATATGCTAAACCCGGCCCTGTTAATAGTACTTCTGTTAATAGTACTTCAACTGTATTGGTGTGTTTTGGTATCACAACGATTGAATAAGGCACCTCGGTACCCCTAATAAAAAAATTATCTCATTAGACGGTAGCATTTACAAGTCCAGCCCAAATGATCCGACTGTTTTAATTTTGGGTTTAATGCACCAAACCCTCTCTTGAAATATAAATTCAATGCATTAGTCCTCTATGATTGAAAAATTACATCAAACCCCCCATGCTATAGCTGGGTTATTTACTCGGCGAGTACTCCGTGAATACTCGGTGAGTACTCCCTACTCGGCCTATGACCTTGCAGAGTAGCACATTACTCGGCCCGAGTTATTATTCCGAGTTACTCGCCGAGTACTCGGCGAGTTAGCCAACTCGGTCAGTGGGTCAAAAAGGCGATTTACTCGGGAGTACTCGGTATTTAGAAAAAAATACCTCCGCTTGAAAAAAAAATTAAATTGAGATTATCCCCTGTGTTGTTTCTTATTCTCCCTCATGCTGCCTATTATATTCTTCTCTGTATACTGTAATAAACTCTAAGAATTTTGGATTGTTCTTCGTTTGCTTGTGCTTCTTAAACTGATGTTTTCATTGTACATTTTCAAGTCTTTGGCCAACTAAAGTGAATGTATTGAATGTACCCCTGAGACCTGAGTTGTTGAATGCTGAAATAAAATCTCTTAATTGAAAGGTGAAAAATATAGCTCAGCAAAAAAGCATCATGTTTGGTTTTGGGTGAGCTGCAATTTGTATTTAGGGAACTACCTTTGAGGACTCGTTGTTCGCTAGGTGCCACTTTGAAGTTACTTTGAAGTTCTTCAATTGGAATAAGAATAGGTGCCAAAAAACTGCAAAAAATATTTGCCTTTTCTTCCACTACTCGTGCTTCTTGAAGTTGTATTCTGGTATTGTATACGTATTATATGCATTTTAAGACATTTTCTATCCTTTTATTCACTTCTATGCATTTTAAGACAATTTAAAGACAATTTTATTACTATATTTTAAGACTACTATATTTAAATATATTTTTTATATTTAATTAATACTAGGCCGAGTAATCACCGAGTAATCTCGAGTAATCGATCCTACTCGCTACACGGCCCTTGACCGAGTAGCTACCGAGTAGCGAGTAAACTACCTAGTGCTATAGTTATTCATGCCCAAAACCCCTCTATGAACAAATTTAATTGTCAAATAAAAGAAAAATGTTAAATTTGTTCTTGGAGGGGTTTTTGTGCATGAATAATTATAACACAGGAGGGTTTGATGCATTTTTAAATCACAGGGGCTAATGCGCCGAATTTATACATCACGAGGGGGTTTGATGCATTAAAGCCTTTTAATTTCACGTACGAGGGGAATGGGGATGGGGCGAGATATTTTAAACAGGTTTTGCATGGGAAATGCTGAATGGGAAGGTAACCCTACCCGCTGCCATCCTTACTCGATACTACGTATGTTATCTCCGGCTAGGAAGTGGACCAACAATTTTGTCTTGACCGATTGATTTTGAACCAGCAACCAATTTATATAAAGTTACTAACCACATAAAGACCAACTCATTGCAGGATCTGAATGGGTTATGCTCACCAGGTCATTCGTGGAATTCTGCATTTGGGGATGGGACAATCTCCCGCGCACCCTTCTAATGTACTATACCAATTTCCTCTCCTCTCCTGAGGGCTACTTCCACACTGTTGTCTGCAATCACAAAGACTATCAGAATACAACAGTGAACCATGACTTGCACTACATAAAATGGGATAATCCCCCAAAGATGAACCCCATGAATTTAACAGTGGAGCATTTTGAAGAAATGGTCCAAAGTGGTGCTCCATTTGCTCGTACTTTTGCCGTGGGTGATTCCGTTCTTGATAAGATCGATAAGGAACTCTTGAGAGGATCTAACAACCGCCTAATTTCAGCGGGTGGTTGGTGTGTTGGGAAAGATCCGTGTATACCAACTGGCAGTTCTGATGCAGTTAAACCTTCTGCAGGGTCAAGAAGGTTGGAGAAACTTGTTCTCAAGCTCCTTGGTTCTGAATATTTCAGGCTTAGTCAGTGTAAATAATTTGTCCTGAGTGCTTATTTTGTTTGAAAATATCAGTTTCTTTATTCTTTCCATCCTTCCTAGGTTTTATCCAAGTCTTTTATGTGTTTTATTATAGAAAAATGGAAATGATTAGTATCTTCTACGAATCACTCACCTTTTTTTTATGGAAGATATTATTGAAGGAACCAAAATGTAATTTACATCATAGCAAGCCCCCCCCCTGCCCCAGTAAATGCTTTAATTAATAGATTAATAGCATCAGAAACCAAAGCAAAAGCCTTACGACTATGTAGCAGCAAATATGCAGATTAGAAACCTGCATAAAGAAAACCAAGAGAGCAGCCTATCATATGAAACAAACTCAGCCTTCATTGGACAAACACTGCAACCACAGGTTTTAAAAAATCAGTAAAACTAGCAGGATACATTCTGAATATGATCTTGTATACCATATGCATGAAAACACTATCAACCATGACCAATTTGTGTGCGATAATTGTCTCATTTATAGCTTTCCATACTGAGTATGAGTATACCGTACAACAAAGGGCCACACGTACAGTCTTTTTTTTTTTTTTTTTTTTTTTTTTTTTTTAATCTGGGTACCTCCATATTGTTTTATTCACAATTGTAATCAGCAATATAGAGGTATACTTTTAAAGATCAAGCCACCTTCTGCCAAACATCCTTTAATATACATCTGGATTTTGCAAAAACAGCATCTTATATCCATTTCAATATACAATAGGTTGTCACATGTTGGTAGCCTATTCCGTAAACCCGGCCAAAGAATAAAGGAGAACTTGGGAGAAATATAATTTTTACAGATTTGCTTCATCCAAGGCTTTTATAGTGGCTCCTGGTTCTCTATACTCATAAACCATTCCGGATTTGAGCTTCCCTTGATTACAGAATGAGAGCATTTTATTTATGACTTCAGCTTGTCCACTCATCGCATTGCACAACACATTTTTAATCTTGATCAACCTGATGAACAATGGGGATACCCCAGCTTGAAGTGTCCGATCGCAGATTGAAACCCCTCTCAAATACACACAATGGACCCATTTCACCCACAATGTGCCCCTTTTCAAATGAATATTCCAAGTGGTCTTTGAAGGTAGAGCATTATTTCAAACTTTGCAGTCTTTTAAACCTAACCCCCCTCCTCCCAAGGCCTACACACATCAACCCAAGCCACCTTCGCATTTGGCCCTCCCCACAAGAGCAGCAACAGGTTTGAGAAATACTTGGATACAATAATAATGGACTCGGATAACAAACCTAATCAATTCAAAACGACTTACATAACTCATGCATTTAATTTTCCATTTTAAAGTAGAAATTTCAATTTTTTTCAAGAGAGGGGAGTATTGAGCAACTGAAATCTTGAGAGGCTACAGGCACTCGCAAGTAGGATCAAACTGCAATTTTTTTATTACCAAAATGTTATTTTCCTAACACCTCATAATTCTGTAGTCTGGAGTATTAGTCCATTATTTTCTCGGTAGCATTAACATATTTCCACTTTGGAAGTAAGATTATGAGTAGTAAAAGGTGATATAAATTATTGAGTGTATGATGGGAAGATAATGTAATAATGTGATGGGATGAAAGATGCATTCAAAAAGTAAGTATAATACGGAGTAGTGTATTATTTTGAAAATTATTGAGAATATGATAAAAAAAATTAGAATAAAAAGATTATTTCATTATAGGATGAAGAAGATTTTTTTTTTCTTTTTTTACGAATGAACTACTCCGTATTACTCCGTACTAGAAATGGATCAAGTACTACGGACTACGGAGCACATTTGCTTTATTTATTGAGTTTTTTTCTCAAAATACCGCTAAATAAATAAATATTTCCGAAAATAATGTTGAGTTAAAAGTATTTCCCAAAATACTGCTGGGATAATCACAGTTAAAGAACCGCCACTTGAAGTGGCAGCTTATATGTCTAGAAAAACTAACGCACTTGCAAAGCCAAGAGTGAAGAGAAGTTGAGTCATGGGTCCCACCACTAAATAAAATATCATGTTTTTATTAAAACTGTTATAACTTTTGTATTTGTACGCCGATTGTTATAAAAGATATATCAAAATTCATAACTTTTTATTATCTTTCATATAACATCAATGTTGAATATATAAAAATAAAAAAATAATTTGACATTTTAAAAATATCTACTTTTTAAATTGTTATATCCTTTTTGAATTGTACTATGATCATTATAAAAATATTTCAAAATTCATTATATTTTATTGTCTTTCATATGACATCAATATTGTGTATATAAAAATATAAAATAATTTGACACTTTTAAAATATCTACTTTTTAAGCACTATATCATTTTTATTTGTACTCCGATTGTTATAAATATTATATCAAAATTCATATTTTTTTATTATCTTTCACATGACACCAATATTGAATATATAAAAATAAAAAAATAATTTGACACTTCAAATAAAAAGTGTCAAATTATTTTTTAATTTTTATATATTCAATATTGATGTCATGAAAGATAATAAAAAGTTATAAATTTTGATATAATTTTTATATCAATTGGAATACAAATAAAAAAGTTATACCATTTTAAAAAATCATGATATTTTATGTGATGGTATACCATGCCTCAACTTCTCTATCCCATGGCTTGGCTTTGTATTGTGCATTTGTGCTGTTTAACACTTTAACTATGATTACTCCAATATTATTTTTGGAAATATTTATATATTTAACAATATTTTTGGAAATATTATTGCACAGTGAATGTAAGTAATTATTGCGTGGACCAATGGAATAATAAAGTTCCGACAAAAATCACCAAATGTACGCGGTTAGCTACCCAAACTCCGGCGGGCAGGACCGAACTCCGAGGTGAGGACCGTGAGGTCACTTGAGTTGTTCATTAGCTTGAATGAACTGTCTTCCTCTTGAACATTTCCAGGCCGATCATCATCCCCCTTTTAATCTGCATCACCATCCCCGCTTCCGCCCTGCACGGTGGCGCGTGAAGAATCTTCGCTGCAGTTCAAGTAAATGATGTAAGCGAAAGTTAAGGGCGGGAGATGGGGCAGAAATTGAGCTGTGGGGAGACCCTTGAACACGGGTTCCTCACTGCAGTTCAAAATGGAGAGCTTGAAACAGTTGAAGCAATGCTCGTTGAGGACCCAAGTGCTCTATTGAAGTTTACCGCTGCTCGTGGTCATGGAAAGCTCTCTGCTTTGCATGTGGCCGCTGGCAATGGGCAGACCGAGGTCGATTCTGCTGCATCTTTCTTCATTTTCGAATATCAATTACCCTCCTTTTGTGAGTGTGTGTCTCGTTCGGAAATGAATTTTTCCTTCTGTTGGGTATAGGTTCTCTGTATGCTTTTGGATAAGGGGTTAAATCCAGACATCTTGAATCACCACAAACAGGTGATGTATATTTAGCCTAGTCGTGTTTACCTGTTTTCATTATATACTCCATATGTACCTGTTACCTTGAAATGTCATTTATTTAGTGTTCAAAATGTATGTGCAATTATGCATTAGGTATTTGGATTCCATTTCACTTTTTAATCTTTATGCAGACCCCATTGATGGTAGCTTCTATCCATGGAAAAGTTTCATGTTTGGAGAGGCTAATCGAGGCAGGAGCTAATGTATGCTCCTTGATTCCCTTCACTCCCACACTTGTTTCTTCATGCGCTGTTGTACACTTTTATTATGTATACACTCCTTCCGTCCCCTAATACTCTAATAGTTTGCCATGTTTGACAGATCCGTAGAATTAAAAAATCAAAATGATGTTTGAGTTTTTTAGGTAGGAGATAGAAATGTTACCAAACAAAAATTTGTTTACTTATAGGGAGTGTCAAACCTTTTTTGGACAGTCAAATTAAAAAAAAAAGTTGGTAAAAGAAATAACCAAGGACAGAGGGAATAATCAATAATATATACATGCACGCGCACCAGCGTTGTTAATAGATTTCTATAACAGCATAGTGGAGAAGAGTGGCACCTAGCTGCTATAGGGTTCACTATAGCATGACAGATGGCAATAGTGATAATAGTTAGAGCAGTAGCGGGGCAAATAGCGGCACCCGAAAAACACCTAATTTGACTTGGTTCGTTTTTTAATACAGTGAAAACTATGGAGTTGAAATTTGTTTAAAGGAAAGAGAAACAACATCAACTAAAGAATCATTTCCTTAAAAGGAAACAAGTGACATCTATTGTGGGACAAATGGAGTAAATGTATATAGATACTGTACAATCTTTTTGTTACATTACACATTTTTTATGCTTGAAATGTAATTGTTGATTGTATTTTCTTTCATTCCATTTGTTCAGATTCTAATGTTTGATTCACTACATGGGAGGACGTGCTTGCATCATGCTGCGTACTATGGCCACTCAGAGTGCATTAGTTCTATCCTCTCTGCTGCCCAATCTACCCATGTTGCACAGTCCTGGTGACTTACATATATCATCTTTCCGTATTTTGTGGTTTCTGTTGTTTAATTTGTTTCTCAGAGTGTATATACATTACAAATGATGTATCCAGATTAGGCATCATGTACTCCAGTACTCAAAATGCATATCATTTGACCCCGATTACTCACCAGCGCTATTTACAACAATGAGAGCACTTGGGAGTTGGGAGATTTTCCCACTTTCCCTTGAACTCATTAGGAACAAAGTTACTAATGACTGTATTGACTGTGTGGTGGTTAGGGGGTTTGCAAGATATGTAAACACAAGGGATGGGCGTGGTGCAACCTCACTACATTTGGCCGCACGATACCGGAGGCCAGAATGCGTACGTATTTTAGTAAACAATGAAGCTCTGGTGTGTGCTTCAACTGGCGCATACGGGTATTACTTTCTCAACTATGGTTATGCCTATGCCTTAATAGGATTTGCTTTTGCGTATTTAGTGAATTTCACACAATAAAATTATAGATATCCAGGATGTGCACCTCTTCATTTGGCAGCTAGGGCTGGTTCCTTGGATTGTGTTCGAGAATTACTTGCTTGGGGTGCTGATAGACTTCAGAGAGATGCCTCAGGGTTAGACCTCTCTGCTTTGATGATCTTTAAACAATGTGTTTCCGTAGTCATGTTTTTGTTTGTATTTCAGATACTACATGTTATGCTAAATTTTTGGCAGGGAATAATATAGCCATCAAACTTAAATCTATTTTTCATGTCTGCAAACACAGTGTTTTTTCTTATACGTCCCAATTTTTATAAATCCTTACAATTTATGTTGTTTTCTTTTTGGTCGCTCTTCAACATTCCAATGACCTCCGTTTGAAAAAATGAAAAATAATCTGGCAGTAGAATTCCTCTCTGAACATTTCCACATCAACATTTTACTATTGTTCAAGTGTACTCAAGGCTAATCAAAATTAATTATTTATGTTTTCAGTATACGTCTTTATGGATCTCTAAAATAAACTATTAATTACTTCTGAATAATGAAATGATGCGAAATAGTAAAACTAAAATCCCAGTAGTCAAGTAAGTTCTTTTTTGGTAAATCAAGTTTGTTGGAGTCACAGAAGGTCTAAAGAGAAAATAGCGTAAATTGCAGAGGTAAAATACAAAAAAAAAAAAAAACTAAATTTTGAAGGAGTGTAAATAAAAAATCACCTTATTTTCATGGACTAAATCATATTTGGACCTTGATTTTACGTTTATATCTCCATTGTAGATGCAATAATGCTACTAGGGGATGTTATGCACATAACAAATTGTGTGAATTTAATGCTCTTGAAAGATCCACCTGGCTGATCAATCTGTCTTGACATAGAAAGAATAAATGTGATTATTTGTAGGACTTACTATTTTTTGTTTCCCTGATCGCTGTTACGATTTAAACACACACAATACGAAGAACGATAAGAAAGACACAAGAGTTTGGTGACCCAGTTTGCCAAGAATGACTACGTCTGGGGGCGCTACCAAGCCAGGATGTTACTATTATTTTCTAATAATAATTACAAGGAGAGAGCGTGTATTTATAGAGAGCAAAACCTAACCCAACCATGAAAGAACGCGCGGCCCCATATATAAAAAATGGATCGGCGGAATGGGCTTGGTTATACAGTCTCTAACACCTTACAATTGCTTTTCAGGAACTCCTTTTAGTGCTTCTATAGCAACCATTTTTGGGATGCCTGTGTAATTTAAACACAGTTTGCAGTAGCAACGAAACTAATTTTTTGTGGTCATTTGATTTGTACAGGAAAGTGCCTTACATGATTGCAGTGAAGCACAGGCATGAAGCATGCGCTGCTTTACTCAATCCTTCATCTCCTGAGCCATTGGCGTGGCCTTCACCCCTGAAATTCATGACTGATCTTGATGCTGAAGCAAAATGGTTATTAGAAACGGCCTTGATTGATGCCAATAAGAAAAGAGAGAAGAAACTATTGAAGGAGACGGGCTATACTACTTCACCTTTGCATTCTTATTCAGGCAATGAGGACTTTGAGGTAAAATTCTTTCTTAAAAAATATAGTGATTCTTAATGGGGGTTCTCCTTAAATATTATTTTGGGAAAAAGTTCAAATTGAACCTTGTACTATTTCCAATTTGGCACTTAAGCCCCTATACTCAATCCAGTCATTTGAACGGTTTTTGACTTGTTAAGGCAAGTTTTTTTTTTTGAAAAAAAACTAAGAAAACTATTTAAATTCACAAAGAGGAAAAAAATTGTAAAAATTTAAGAATGTCAAAATACATTTATTTTGTGCTTTTCGAATTACTTGAATAATCTACATGTTTAAAACAAATTTACATTTTTATTTTATATTTTTTACATTTTCTTTTATTTTTGGATTTCTTTGATTTTCGTTTTTTTATTTTCATGGTTCTTAAATTATACTACCTCCGTCCCTTAAAACTTTGCCAAGTTTGACTGGCACGTGGATTAATAAAGTAAAAACTGTGTGGTTGAGGTTTGTGCAGAGGAGAGAGAATTAACTGGAACCACAAATTCTTTACTTATAAGCTAGGTAGTTTACTCGCTACTCGGTAGCTACTCGGTCAAGGGCCGTGTAGCGAGTAGGATCGATTACTCGGTGATTACTCGGCCTAGTATTAATTAAATATAAAAAATATATTTAAATATAGTAGTCTTAAAATATAGTAATAAAATTGTCTTTAAATTGTCTTAAAATGCATAGAAGTGAATAAAAGGATAGAAAATGTCTTAAAATGCATATAATACGTATACAATACCAGAATACAACTTCAAGAAGCACGAGTAGTGGAAGAAAAGGCAAATATTTTTTGCAGTTTTTTGGCACCTATTCTTATTCCAATTGAAGAACTTCAAAGTAACTTCAAAGTGGCACCTAGCGAACAACGAGTCCTCAAAGGTAGTTCCCTAAATACAAATTGCAGCTCACCCAAAACCAAACATGATGCTTTTTTGCTGAGCTATATTTTTCACCTTTCAATTAAGAGATTTTATTTCAGCATTCAACAACTCAGGTCTCAGGGGTACATTCAATACATTCACTTTAGTTGGCCAAAGACTTGAAAATGTACAATGAAAACATCAGTTTAAGAAGCACAAGCAAACGAAGAACAATCCAAAATTCTTAGAGTTTATTACAGTATACAGAGAAGAATATAATAGGCAGCATGAGGGAGAATAAGAAACAACACAGGGGATAATCTCAATTTAATTTTTTTTTCAAGCGGAGGTATTTTTTTCTAAATACCGAGTACTCCCGAGTAAATCGCCTTTTTGACCCACTGACCGAGTTGGCTAACTCGCCGAGTACTCGGCGAGTAACTCGGAATAATAACTCGGGCCGAGTAATGTGCTACTCTGCAAGGTCATAGGCCGAGTAGGGAGTACTCACCGAGTATTCACGGAGTACTCGCCGAGTAAATAACCCAGCTTATAAGGGAAAGTGGCAAAGTTAATGGGACATCCAAAAAAGGAAAGTTGGCAAAGTTTCAAGGGACGGAGGGAGTATCTATTTGACATTTTACTTTTTTATTTTTTCTGTTTCTATATTATTTACAATTTCTATATTAATATTTTTATAGAGTTTATGAATTAATATTTTCAAAATGGCATGGTGAGATGGTTGGATAACTTGGATTAATTGTGTTTTCAAAGTGAATGTGTTTAAGTGATACTTTTTTACGGATAGGGGCTCAAGCGATAGATTTGAAATAGAAGGGTCAAAACATTTTACCTATTACTAAAATAAAGCTTTGGACTAAAAATGTGATCACCATAGACACCGAAAGAAAATACCACCCAATCACAACACTGCAAAAAACGCATTTGTCATTATTTCATTCTTAAAGGAGCTGCATGAATAGATAGCTAAGACTACAACATTACAATCCGAATATAGATTATTAGGACATGTTTGATACTTATCCTTCCATTTTGGTGTTGAGCGCGTTCTATTTTACACAGGCGAGTGATTTCGACCTATGCTGCATATGCTTTGAGCAGGCGTGTACTATAGAGATACAAAAATGTGGGCACCAGATGTGTGCACATTGTACACTAGCCTTATGTTGCCACAACAAATCTAACCCAACCGGTAAGAGTGACAACATACTCCCATGCCCCTTTTGCCGGAGCAGCATCACCCAATTAGTCATTGCCAAGAACAAGACCGAGAGCAAATTAGAAGAATTGAGCCCATCTAGGTCCAGAATGCCAAGAACATCATTCAACCTAGCTGAAGATGGCAGCAGCAGTAATAATGCCTTCAAGGTTTTGTCACCCTTAGCCTCATTTGCAAAGCTTGGTGGTCGCAATTCAGGCATGTACACATCTGATTGCATTGAGGGCTTTTATAAGCCATAACATCTTTGTCAACTATTGATATATATATATATATATATATATATATATATATATATAGGGTGCAATTTTAATGAGAACAATGCTTAAGATGAAAAGAACACACGCGTTTAATACAATTTGATGTACATTAATGTTCAAAATGTTGCATATTATTCTGCAGTGAAATAAACGGTTGCATATTAACATTCAAATGTTGCATTCGGAAAATTTTGATTTATTTACCAAAATGTACTGTGTATTTGCAGCACTTTGAACGTTATTATGCACCTGCGTATTTCATTGCAGAGTAATATGCAACTTTTTGAATGTTAATATCTCATGCAAATAGTATAATGATGCATCGTGCATATATTTGCACAATAAACACTGTTTGTACCCGATCTGCCCCTATATATGTTATATATATATATATATACCGGATGCTTCTAACAATTATTATATATCTCCATCTTTGGGGAGATGTATTATTTGACTCAGTGGAAGCTTGCCTATTAATATATACTCCTGTACGAAGTATGTATTACATTTTCTTCAAAAAATTACAAATTATGTGAGGTTATATGGTTCAAGTTTCACGTTTAATACCTTGGACGCTTTGCAAGTTCTTAGTATCCTCTTTTGCACTTTGTAACAATTATGGGGCTGGCTTTGTGTGTATTTAAGAAAAACTGGTTCATTAACACTGATCATGATTGATGAAAATCTGTAAAACCCATATTGAAAATGGAGATTCTTTTTTTTTTTGAAAATGGAGATTCTGAGTGAGTTAAATGTTGGTAAGTGTGGCAGTGATAATGGCGAGTTGCGAGAAGAACAGTGTGAAGATATTAATTAATGATGGTACGTACATGCGACATCAAAGGTGTTGCATGCAATTGTGATGATAGAAGGTAATGTCAGTGACTGGAAGTAGGTCGAGACAATGGTGTTGGGATGACAGTGGAATAATGGTAAGGTAGTAGCAAACTAGCAGTAACCTTGGTGGCTGTCATAGGTGGCGGTGAGTTTGGGCATAACCAGGAAAAGCTGCTAAATAGATCCATATACTTTTACTAAACACTCAATTGATTAGACTTAATCTTAAATGAATTGATCAAGTCCGTGAAATATCAACAAATAATCAAATTGGCTATTTCCTAGGTATTCAACTTGTTTTCTAGTTAACCAACATGGATCATTCAGTTGGCATTTTTTAGGTTTTTTTCAACAATATTACTACAATAAAACATATTTACAAAAATATGTTTAATAGTTACTACAATGTAGTGTCATGGTCACTTAAGTTTAAAAAATGAACATAAGTTAGTAAGATTTCATTACTACTTTAGTCACTAGTCACAATTTTGTAAACAATTTTTATTTTAGTAATAAAAGTGTAATTATTTCAATTTTTTTACTGTTTTCTACTTATTTTTTCTTATAGTTTTTAGTTCCTCCCTCCCTCCCTCCCTCCCTCCCTCCCTCCCTCCTAGTGCTGGACTCGGGCCGGGCGGCCCGGCCCGGAACCGGCCCGGCCCGGTTACTGTTAGGCCCGGCCCGGCCCGGGGCCCGGTGGGTCCACCGGTTCGGTTCGGCCCGGCCCGGCTGCTGGGCGGTTCGGGCCCGGGCCCAGGTTTTGGTGAACCGGCCCGGCCGGTTCGGGCCCGGTCCGGGCCGGATTTTAATTTTTTTTTTTTTTTTTTGAAATTTTTTTAAGTTTTAGGTTGGATTAGGTATTTTGGGCCATTTGAGGTGGTTTGGGATGGTTTGGGGTTGAGGGGGAGGGGTAGGGGATTAAATAGGAGACCAAAAAAAAAAAAAAATTAAGTGGGCCGGTTCGGCCCGGCCCGGCCCGGCCCGGTTTGGCCCGGAACCGGAACCGGAACCGCCCACCGGCGGTTCGGGCCCGGGCCCTAGTTTTCTGGCCCGAGGCCCGGCCGGGCCCAGGCCCGAACCGGGCCCGAACCGGCCCGAGTCCAGCCATACTCCCTCCCTCCCTCCCTCCCTCCCTCCCTCCCTCCCTCCTTCCTTCCTTCCTTCCTTCCTTCCTTCACTTCCTTCCTTCACTTTCTTCACTTTCTTTCTTTCTTCACTTTTTCTCTTTCTTTCTTTCTTTCTTTCTTTCTTTCTTTCTTTCTTTCTTTCTTTCTTTCTTTCTTTCTTTCTTTCTTTCTTTCTTCACTTTTTCTCTTTCTTCTTTCTACCTTTCAGTCCGCTCCTTTCCTGTTTCATGCCTCTATTGCCAGACCTGCTGCCATCTCTATTCCCTCCACTTCTACTGCCCCTGCCTCCCTCCACTTCTTTCTTCACTTTTTCTCTTTCTTCTTTCTACCTTTCAGTCCGCTCCTTTCCTGTTTCATGCCTCTATTGCCAAACCTGCTGCCATCTCTATTCCCTCCACTTCTACTGCCCCTGCCTCCATATCCACAGATCCACCTAGTCAGTTAGTTTCTTAACTAGCTAGTGCATTATAATGCTAGTTGGTAGCAGGGTTGTTAGGTGGATTGGTGTTATTGGTGTTAAGACTGCATGTTGAGGTCGCATAGTCATCTTATTATTTTTACCTGTGTATTGCATCTACTCACAGTCACAAGACTTCCAAGACATTCGGAGCTTCCAAATCTGGCATTTGCATTGAATATCATATTCACATTTAATATTGCTAAATGGCGAGGTGACATTTTTCTTAGTTTGTTTTCCATTGCAGATGTGGAGGTAAGAACCGCTTTTGAAAGTGAGTTAGAATTGCATGAGTTAAAAGGAAACCATTGACAAATTGGAAATACTTCGTATGTTAAATTAGGTAGGTAACCTTTCAATGTAAGAAAGAAATACAGGAGTGCAAAATGCAAATAGCCCAAGGGTGATTCTGTTGATTGATGCCTGAAAATTAGTTACTCCGTAAAATAAACCATTTACATCGACTGTTTTATACATGCAAACACACACACAAAATGTCAAAGTGGATGTATTGATACAATACAATTATTAACCATAGTAATCTCTGAATCGGACAGCAGCGTCATACAACCATTGTATACTCCATCAAGAGGGGTGATGCATACGGATGAAATAAAGTACCCACCTAGATAGCACAGTGAAATGATTGAATGAATAAAATAAGCTGCTTGGGGTGATTATAATGAAGTTAGAGGCTCATGAATCATGAGCATATAAAATATAGAGCTAGGTAAGTGCTGTTGACAATAATCACTTTGAAAAAAATACTACGTAGTAATTCCTAGTACTAAGAACGGCTAACACCAGGCCGATATTCTCCAATTCCAAGCAGATCCTGCAAAGACAAAATGGATAAATGAGTTGTTCATTACATTGGCCTTCATGGAAAAAAATGAAGACATTATTGAAACTAAACACCAATACAAAGTTGACAAACATCTAACTTTCTGTGTCAGTTGATACACTATGAATCGCATTGGACATTATTCTATTTGTTGACTCTTATGGAATCACTGACATGTGGAGTTGATGGTAATATGGCACGAAGTCTATAATGAGTGATATAGTCAAAGTAAGAATGGGAACTAGACACAATATCGGTGTACATAAATAACAGATTTAAAAGAAGCTATTAGAAGCAGGATTTCAGGGTGACACTGATTATAAAAAAGAATAATTTTAACCTGGCAAGCTTTATTTTTTGCCCTTGTTTCTGCTGTACTTGGAATGTCATGATTTGGTTTCATGAATCTTTTCTCGCGCCTCTCACACGAACCCCATCCATCTGAAAACCTACCCCCCCTGGGAAAAAAAGATTAAGAAAGACTAAAAAAAGATTTAGATCAAGAAAATGAAAGGTACGAAGTAATGTTTTGAACTGCCACACGCAAAAAAGCAATATAGTACATACTGCATATATGCCCGAACCACAAATTCAGCTCGCACAACATTGCGGTTGTCATCAAATTCAATGGTCTTGTCTTTGATTTCATAAGATACGTTGAAGTAAAATGATATTTTCCTCCATCCTGACAATAGTATATGCATTCCAAGACACAGTCGCAGTTGAGGAATGCCAAAAGGTAGTCACAATGATATTATATATAGAGAACACCTTGAGGCTGAGGACCTGAAAATTTACCTGATTTTTTAATATAAGGGCTTCCTGAAATGATTGTGTAATCACTTCTCTCCAATATCTGTCAAAATTTTCATTTTACAACACTTGATAAAAAAAACCTACGGCTCCTAAATACCCATCTTTGAATATCTGTACTCATAGCTTACTTAGAAAATAATAAATTTTCCCAAATTCTAACTTTAACAGAATAAATAGTGATGACCTTCCAAAATTACAAAAAATGTGCTATTAATTTTTCAAACTACATTTTTTTATCAATTACTCCTATTTGTAGAAGATGTGGTTCATTTGGAAAACTATCAATTCGTTGACATGCCAATGTTCACAAATTCAGACAGTTTCGTCCAAAAATAAAAGGGGGCTGCTGACTATTATTGCTTCAAAACTTCGTATTACTCGATATTTAATAGTTCAGAACATTTCCTGAATGTATGATATGAGCCTAACTTGTCAAAATATTTAAACAAACATGAAGAAAGATAACGATCGGACTAAGATATGGAGGAAACGGTAAGATTTTACCGCCATTGCTGCATTTTGGTACTCCTTGAACAGATCCACTGACGGGAACTGACCACACAAGCTATGCCTTGTAATTCCTGTTCTATCATCACATCTTCCATGGTTCATTTTCGTCCCCGGGGAACACTCAGAGCTAACTGGACTATTGCTACAGTAACCGTATTCTGTAACAGGATACCTTGTTTCCTGAGGAGAGGAATGAACCGGCGTAGCCGCGGTGCGTTGCTGGTGTTTCACCATTGCCAGAGGTGGCGTACCCATGCCGCTTCGATACGAAGAAGCCGGACTGTTGAACTTGGTAGTTTTATTCGAGGCTTGATTGAAGACCTCGCCATCAGGGTGAGGATGCTTTCTAGGGCTTTTAGAAAGCCCACATTGGGGGGAGGACAAGGGGAAGGGGACAGTAGGAGAGTGCTTGACAGCAAGAGGTTTACATTGTTGAACTGTGGCGACGGTGGCCGTCCTGGAGGTGATGGAGGCGGCGGCAGCGGAATCGATCACCGCCCACAACGCGGCATCATCCAGGTCATTATCGTCGACTCCGTAGGCAATTAGAGAATTCATGCCACAGAGAAATTGGGGAACCAAATGACCGATTGGCTCGTTGGCGGGTCTATATAATTACAAACTTTTTTTTAGAAAGTTTTGTACGAGTAATATTCATTTTGCATTTCTTTGACAATCACAATCTCATATTTCTATTTTTTTCTTCATCTTAATAAGCTTAATTGGAAGTATTTGTTGGGACGGATAGAGTATGTAATTAGTAATTTTCTTCATCCTTTTTGAATGTAATGAAATTTGTTACTACAAAATTACTAGTGATTAACCTTATCAGTCAACTTTTTCATCGAACATATAAATTTGATTTTGCGCGTTGAGTTATGCAATACTAAAAAAAGTTGAAGTTGCTTTTCTGATCAGATTGACTTAACTTCAGTGAACATACTTAATTATTTTTTCATATAGTTTTTATTTTATTTTATTAATAAAA